ATTTGATATTTGCAGGGGAACTAAACATAACAGTAAGCAAATAAGAAGTTGGCGGTCAGATAAACGACAAAGCGAGCCCTTACCACTTTCCAACAATTATAATTATTCGCCAAATAATATAAAACGAGAGAAGAAAATGGGAGTCGACAGAAATTTAATTGATGCTAAATGTAAGTGAATTGAATGCGTGCGTTATATACTTTTAACAATAATATTGGATTTATAAGATATTTTTGGCCATTCAAGTGGATACTTGTTTTGCTGCTTTTAAAAAAAATACATACATATGTATTTATTGCTGTGTCGTTTATATGTGATGTACATTAATATATGTGTTCACCAAATTTGTTGCTAATGAATATTTCGTGTAATCTGTATATGAATTTGTGCCACATTTTCGTAATGTATTTCTCTCAGTAAGCAAAAAAAAAAAAAAAAATGATATAGGATTGCAACTATTATAATAACTGACAGTATGTCTGTGTGTTTGGTTACCTTTGGAGATTCAAAGAGATATGGTATTTGCTTGCATGACAACTGCTGTGGTAATTAGATACTATACAGCAACAACTACCAGCCACAGACATGTGGTTTGTTATGAAGATGTGAAAAATATCAAAATCATAACAACGTATATATGTATTTATTTACACATATCGGATTTTTAAAGTGGAAAGTGCCCACCTATATTTCACATTTGCTACTTATTGTACCAGCATATGAATTGGGTCATCACTCACAACTGTATTTTTTTTTTAAAATATTGTATTACAATGAAATATATTCGTTATTCATTAGGTAAAACAGTTCCTTAAGTGTGTTCAGTAGAACTATATAAATTATATACCAACAAACTGCTACATTTAAAAAATGTGCATTTGGTATTTTCCAAGCCATATGTTTTAATAATGCCATTGAGTAAAATTTATTCTTCAAATTTCCATTGTAACCATCGTGAAGAAGAATGGACTAACTCGAAAACTATGTATACATTCATAAAAATTTGTCAGTTTCACTTTACATGTGTTACAACTAAAAAGTGAATGATTCATTATCCGATCAATATGTTTAGCAGGATAATGGGAAAATAATATTCACGATTGCTACACTCGGAGACCTTTGATTGATTGTATTCATTCCGAGTACCTGAAAAAATGAAAGGCAGGAGGAAAGAAAATAAGGAATGAATTTAGAATAGATTTAAGGCGATGCTATAAATTATGGTGGGAGCTATTGCGGAAAAATTGTTAATGTATCATTCTTATATCTAGAAACTGTTACTGCGAAGCATTTGCCATAAACAGAGTAGATGTTCCATCGTCCCTATAAGTAGTTTAACAGGAGATTGGTCGACTGACACCACAGATCGGATAGAGGTAGGCACTGTATGGAATGATTTCACATAAATTCTTAATATCTGTGGTATACAGTCTCTAACGAGACGGAAGTGTCACGATGGCATGACACTTCCGTTTGCTTGAAAACTAACTAAATATTCCAGTGGTTGGAGATTTAGAGACTTATTTTAGGACTGGGCAGAGGTTTTTGGATCCATATCATGTCGGTCTATAATCCATCGGTAACGAATACCTTGGTTCCCAGCATTTTTGTCACAGATGGGTTGTGATTCGTAAAATCAAATATATCTTTCAGTGCCGTTAATTTATTTAACACTAACATATGCCCGCAACTTCGTTAGCGAATGTAGGAAATACTTAAACATGTATTAACATATTATTTTATTTTATTTTCACAGAAAAAATGTCAGAAAAAACAATACACACACTAATATCGACCATAAATTAAATTTGAGTACCATTTAGTACCAAATTTCACCATTCGAGCTCTAAAGGTTCACCAAAATCCAAATTTGATCAAATTTAGTTCCATTTAGCATACATTATTTCCATAAGTACCCTCCTCAACCATCCAACAAAACTTCCTGCATACCCAGATCCTACACCCCCACAATGATTCTAAATTCAAATTTCAGGATTTCAACTCTATTCGTTCAACCACAATTTAAATTGTACCAAATTTAGTACACAGTAGTACGAATTTCCAAAACTTGCCACTTAACCCAACCTACACCCCGACAATGCTCCTAAATCTAAGTTTCAGGATTCCAACTCTATCGGTTCACCCACAATTCAAATTGTACCAAATTTAGTACATTGTAGTACGAATTTCCAAAATCTCCTACTTAAACCCAAATCTACACCCCGAAAGTGATTCTAAATCCATGTTTCAGGATTCCAACTCTATCGGTTCACCCACATTTCAATTTGTACCAAATTTAGTACACATTAGTACAAATTTCTAAAACTTTTTCATATCTCAATCTTAAACCTCAACAGTGATCCTGACTCCAAATTTCATGATTCTAGCTCTATTGGTTCACCTAAAATTAAAATAAGTATAAAATTCTTAAACTAAATCCTCACCGTTCGAATGTCCAAAAAACTCTTTGCTATATCTATTCTACATTCCGTCAGTGACCCTGATCTACTTTCTGAGAAAGCAGACCGGAGCTTATAACAACGTAGAAAGAAATTTCCATCGATTTTTGATTTTATATAATAATTTATATCCTCAGCCGAGGTATCTGGTGCAAACCTAGATACAAATACCATTTTCATGGTGGGAGCCATAGATAATGGTCTTTGACCAGGTTGGAGGGAATTGCTAGTGCCAGCTACGGAAGACGCATTAGATGATTGAACTGATGATTCCCGATTTCCGTGAGTAGGTTTTGAAGTCTTTTCCAGACTAGCACTACTTATACTCACAGATTTTGGATTAATCACTTCATTTACATCCTTAACGATTTCCGAGGCCGAATGTGACGCAACACTAGCATATGTCTGGACACAATCAGTTTCCGTTGTATCTGTGATATTGACGGAAGGTGATTGTGGCACTGTATTCCCAACAGAAACTGTGGGTTTGCGACTAGGCACGACTTTATTGGGAGCCTTTTTCGCAGACCTTTTACGTTTCTGCCCAGAAACAGACGGTGATGATACAAATTCATCAAGCTCTTGGTACTTGTCGAACAAATTTGAAAAATTCTCAAATCGTTTTGATAACGATGTAAATTCCTTTTTCATCGAACTAAGCTCCGACTGCAAGTCTTTTACAAAGTTATAAAAGTCGGCTGAAAGTTTTCGACAATGGACACAGCACCAAAGGACACCAACATTATCCCTAATTGTGTCCACTACTTTTGCATTAATTCGAGCACATTTAACGTGCCATTGATTAAGGCAAAACCAGCAAGTGACACACAACTCATCATCTACGGAAATATTACATAATTCGTAAGGACAAACCATTTTTAAAAATTATTATTATTTTTTTTAACTAATTTATGAATTTACTGGAATTTCTATCCCTTGAATTTCTTATAAAACACAAAATTTGGCAACTCAGTTTTGAGATGTCAAAATAACAAAACAAAATAAAAATAAAAGAAATGTTACAACAACAATATAAGCTAATGTAACAAAGGAACAATTGGGAATGGAAACAAAATGCCAATTAGAATTAAAAAGATTAATTGATATTAGGAAAAATATGTTATATTTCACACTTCCAATTATATCAAAATGCACAAAAATTATTTCACAACACTTTTAAAAAACTATCTTAGCTCGTTCGCTTCTATTGTCGCAAGTTGTATATGGTTTAGAGGTTGTTTCAGGCACTGTTGGCAATTGCACTCTTAAGCTAAGGCGTGTAGTGAATACTATTGTGCGATTTGTTTACAGTGTTCCTAGTAGGAATCATATATCAAGTTATGTAAAAAATTTTCTTGGCTGCTCGTTCAAAAACTTTGTCAAATGTCGCAATTTAATATTGTTCCACAAAGTTGTGAAGACTGGTAAGCCTACTGTTTTGCGTTCGTTCTTTGTTTTTTCTAGATCCACTAGAAACCCTCAAATTTTTATACCACGCGTTTTTCGATCTATGTACGCTAGGTCGTTTGTTGTGCGTATAGCCCGGATTTGGAACAGCTTACCTTATGACTTGAGGATTTTCTCGCACTCCAATAATGTTTTCCGCCTGAAATTGATGCGTTTTCTTAACTAAGTTAGGTCAAATTTTGAAGAATCTATTACTGGCACGACCTTCTTAGTTTTTTTAGTTTGTATATTATTTTCGTTTACTTTTTATGGTGGGGATCAGTGAGTATTTGGTTCATTATAAATATGTAAATAATAAATGTATAAATTTTGAATTTATTATTAATATTGAATTATTCTTAGGCATATATTGAACTTGTAATATAATATTGGCCGTGAAGGCTTCCTTATTACTGAATGAATAAATAAATAAATAAACACTGTTACCACAAAAACACAGATTATATTGTTAGAAATTAAATATTTTTTAAACGAGCACAGAGCACCACAAAATTAGCGAACATTCACGACAGGGTTGCCAAATGATTTTCGTACCTTTCTTTTACGAATTTCCAAAACCCAGCCTTATCTGTCACCTTTGGACCAAGAGTGACCCTTACCCAAAATTTAATGATTCTAGCTTCAGCCGTTTCGTCTGGGCGTTGATGAATTGTCAAATCACTCAGTCAGACAATCACTTTACTCTTTTATTAGTATAGATAGATTTGCACATTATTGCCAGGACGTTAGTTTTCTGCGGTATAGAGTGGCGGAAAAGTAATAAGAAATATTTTATTTTCGCTGGTCCTCTTTAATTTTGTTTTATTTTAAGGACTTTTAAATACTCCTTAATTTGGTTTGACATTTTTATTATGTTTTTGTACCACTATATTTTTCTAATAATTTGAACTTAATGTTCGAATAATAAAAGTGACCAACACGGAAAATTATATTTTTAAATTGAATTACTATTTTTTTTTTTTTTTTTTTTTTTTTTTGACAGACTGATATTACCTTAGAGGTAAATATTAATTCAAAATATATTCAAATAGATTAGATTAGATAGTTATTCATTATACCCAATTAGATAAAAATATGTCCCTAAACCGGGGCGATGCGGGTTTGTCCACATAAACACACATACATTGGAAGGGCGTAAATTTTTCATTATGAAATTATTAAGCGGAAAATATTATCAAAATTTCTATAATAGTAAATTTTTGTAAATTCTGCAACAGAGCACAAATAAAAGGTTAAGTAACTAAAAATGATCAATATGTATATTCTAATTAAAATTCTATATTCTAAAACATCAGATTGAACTATTTAACTGTTTTTTCATAACATTCTGCGTTATATATATATATATATATATATATGAAAAACACAAACGCTAGAATTCCCGATGAATGTAATTTAAGTCTGTGTCAAAATGCCGGTTCCCCCTCCTCTGATATCATAAATCTTGTTTTGGGAATTTATAAATGTTCGGAGATTATTAACAACAATACTAAGAAATACATACATATATGGAAATACATGCACAAGCATACATATTGACTGACACTACACTCACCTTAAATACAGTAAAATTTCAAGGTCGCCCTCATTTTATATGATGCCATAGTCAACAGACCTGCTTTTGTTTTGTTTTGATGCGTAAAATTGTAAATCCATTTCTCTTTTGAACTCTCTGACGCTCTCTGTTCATCTTTAAGCTAGTCGTGCTCACCTTAAATTTTGAGAATCGTCATTATTATAATTTTTGTATTATATCGACACGTACACTCTGTCTCCCTACAGTTGGCACTTCAGACATTCGGGACTAACTGTGAATATATGTACCCGAATGTCACGTATGTATGTACATATGTTCATATATGTTTTAATTTATTTGTCATTTTTTAATTTGGCTTTTAATTGTATCGAATGATTCTCAATTGACAATCTCTTCCATAAATTAATGACGAAGCTTCGAATGGGAGAGAACGAAAATAAAAGAGCATAAAAATAACCACTCTATGTAGGTCAAGCTGCGTCAACGACGGCTAGTCATACTTTTGTTGAATTATAATAAAGTGTTTTATGTATTTCTACATTTGTGGAGCCCATGGCGTACCTCAACAAAAGCAATAACAATAATTATATACATACATATCGCATATGATCATTTGTTTGTTTATTTTGAATTAATTGAGCATAGCTGTTATTGTTGCATGGTGTTCTTTTGGTACTTCAACAAATAAGTTTTTGTAATATATCTTTAAATTATCTTTCTTTCTGCTTCTAGTGACCAAATCTAATAGTTTAGATTTATATCGACCACCGGCATTACGACATAATGTCAGCGATTCTTCAAGGATACAAACAGGTAATCAGAACGAAACATTTCATGAAATTCATTCCTCTTCTGTGACACCGGAATCTCCTGCTACCTCGATATCGTGTAATAATTCACCAATACATACAAAAACAAGTACAAATGGCATTGTGGACAATACGACCTCGACACAACAAAATGGTTTGGACTCAAATCCACAAAAACAACAACAAAACCAAGAAGTAGCAGACGAGACATGTAAACCACCGCAAAGGTTAGTATAGCTCTTGTATTTGTTTTGAGAATGAGTTCCAATAGTTTGTGTGTTTGTAACACACTTTTTATTGCCGCTGTGTCGTCACTTATCATACAGTCAACGACCTCGAAGGCCAAACGTACATCCATACGAACTTCTTACTGAATATTTGTGGCTTTGGTTGTTGATTACAGAGTTTTGATTTGTGTTAACCTTTTAAGGGCACACATTTGCGTACGTGATTATGTCCGACGAATTGCAATTTTTTATAAGTGGTTTTTATATACATTTTGGGGTATTTTGAAGTCGGAACAGAAACATTGACTTTAAGAACATACATATATTCTAATTCAGATTTCTTAAAAACTTAATAACACAGTGACACATTTTTCAACTTTAAAATCTTGAAGCTTGTGATGGTGGAAGAAAATCTCTAGCTGGGTTTTGCATTATTAGCTAAGGGTTTTTTTTTAAATATTCAACTAGGGGTGGATTTTAGCAAAATTTTTGAATAATACGTACTTATTATTGAGTCTATATCTCGTAAACTATTCGAAATATTGCTTTTCTCTCTTAAGCAATATTTTTCTTTAATTAGATCTAAAAATTTTCTCTTGAGATAAAATCAATAAAACAACACCATCATACTGAAAATAGCACAAGTGTAAAAAAAATAAAATTTCGACATACTTTTTCCATGTTTTTTCACACTTATTTCAGAAACTGCATCTGACTCGACAAAACAATATATGACAAGAAGATAGCCAATAGCAAATCAAACAACTTTTTTTAAAACCCCGATTTCATTGGTTGATTCCTTCACATAGTTATAGCCTCACAAATTCATCAAAATGAACCAAAGAAATTCACTCCCAATTGTATGTTTATAAAAATAATAATTGTTTTGTTTTTTTTGTCAATAAATAGGTACAAAATTGAAGTAAAAATTAAAATGTTTGGGCCCTTTGGTTTTTTTTCGAAGACATGTCGCATTTTTCTTTTTATTTTATTGATTTTATCTCAAGAGAAAATTTTTAGATCTAATTAAGAGGAAAAATATTGCTTAAGAATGAAAAGCAATATTTCGAATATTTCACGAGATATAGACTCAATAATAAGTACGTATTATTCGAAAATTGTGCTAAAATCCACCCCTAGTCGAATATGTTAAAAATTAATTTAAAAGAAAACCTTAGCTAATAATGCAAAACCCAGCTAGGGATTTTCTTCCACCAACACAAGCTTCAAGATTTTGGGGGTCTCGATTGGTTCAAGATTTTAGTGCTGCACAGTGTAATTAATGTTCAAACTTAATGTAAGAATTGAAGTTGTGTTACAAACAAAATGAAATAATTTACAGAAATTAACGGAAATAATGGTTATTTGAGCAATAGGGTCCTTTTTTATAATAAAAGGGTTCACATGGATAAAATTGGTTATATTAAAGAATAGTCACAAATATGTTATTTCGCTGGTTGAAATATAGAGTAAGATCGTACTGTTGTGAGTGTACGTAGTATTTTTTTTTTTTGTAACCAAGAATATATTCTTAACAAAATTAGAACATGTTTGTGCCAGGAATATTTGATATAATAAAGTAAATACTTACAGAAATATTGTTTTCATAGTTGAAGTGTGCAGACGAAATCGGATATTGTATGTAAAATTTCTCAGAAATATCGTCACAAAATTTATCATAGTTTTATTGGAAACCTAAATCTATAAACGAATAAAATTCGTTAAAGATGAGAAAAAAAACGAAAATAAATAAACTACATGTATCGAGCACAATTCGTTAATTTACAAAAACATCTTTTATTTTATGAATTGTATTCCTTAATAAGTCTAAAATGTAAATTTCAAGCATATTAAGTGAAATTGTGGAATATTTTGCCCAATCTTACTGAATGTAGAGAATAAAAACGAAATAGAACTTACTGAACAAATGTTACTGGAAAAGTAACCAGACACAGCTAATATAAAACCCCAATTTTTTGCTATTTATGCGTTGAATTAATTGTATTATGCATTTAAAAACTTTAATTTCTTTATGTAGGCATTTTTTTGGGTACAAACAATTTACAAACTACAAATTTACAATTATATCGGGATCTGTAACATTGCGGAACACTTATTATTTTTTATTTTCAATAACTATTTCTATATACCTGTATGTAAAAACCAATTTGTTCGCTAGCGATTGAAATGTTTATATATTTGTACCCTATATAAATCAAATTTGTTCTATTGCTGCTTGAAATATCAAATAATTGCTCTAGTCGGGTTTTCAAATAATGCATACTACAAAAAACGTGTCGTCATTATTTCGGTTATTTTGGACCTCTTTTTCATTTATTCTCTTTCGCTGCTTTTACGATATACCTATACTAGCACGGTTTATTGTGTGCAGGTTTTTGCTCATTTAAATTTATTTCGTGTGTTCTTTCTCACCATCATTCTTTGCTTTGTTTGTGAATACAACTTACAACTGCACTACACATATCAATTTTTACAGACAACAACAGCAGTCCAGACGTGAACGACGTCCAGATAGAGCTGTTTATATTCCAAGGGCACGACGTAGTCAAACAACTCCACCAACTACAACATCAATTCAGCAAGCACCACCACCACAGCTAGCACCATCTATATCGGTACAAGACCCAACAGCAGTGAATGGGCATACGGCTGCGGCAACCACCACAACAACAACAACATTAACCACCACTGCAAACCATACAAACAGCAAAAGTCTAAACCAAAACCAACAATTGGCAATTACTTTGGACGACACAACAGCTGCTTCAGTCACCGATAAGCCATCGTCTAAAACGGACGAAGTTGGCAAAACAACAAGCAGTAATAGCACAATAACAAAGAAAAGAGAAAAATCAAGTAAAGAAACGCGAGAACGTCGAGAACATCGTGCGTCAAGGAAATTATTATCTGCTCAACAACAGCAGCAAATACAACTAAATAATAATTCTAAAAATAATACAAAATCGAATGAGAACAATATAAACGGCAGAAGAGCAAGTGATGACGAATTTTCCCCACAGACTGTTATAGTAATTGCCCAAAGAGAAAAAACGCCACCACCACCAGCACAACCGTCAATCGCCGATGTAAATTCTATAACAAATTGTAGTCAGAAAACGAACAGTTCCGTAGGCAATGTGCTAGACTGCGATACAGAACAACAAGAATACAATTTAGTGCTGAATACGTCAAATGGTATTGAGTTGAATCAGGAATCGCATGTATTACCGAATCGTTTGAGTTTCAATCACGGCGATAATTTTGTTATAAACGAGTTTGTCGAGACTACCACCCAATTGCTGTCTGAACCTACTGACACTGTTAGTAAAAATTTCGCAAACATATCCAACTCTCTCACAAACATTACCAACGATATTACCGCAATGCCCAAGCCAAACAAAAATAAACAAAACAATGGCAACAAGACATCCAATGCTGTTGTGGATAATGCCAAGATGCCTAATTTACGTATTGAGGATGTTGCAGTAGCACAAACACCCAAATGTGATATCGAAGAACAGGAATTACAACGTGCTTCAAAGGTAAGTGAGACAATAGATGTTGTTGTTGCTAATATACAGGGGTATTTGTTAATATGAAAACGTGTTTTTTGTTGTTATGTTTTTTTTTTAAATGGCACCATAAAAGGAAATGTAGATTAATTAGATGTTGGGGTATATTGTTGAGACTATTGATATATATATATATATGCGCCATTGATATATATATGATATATATCATTTGGAAATAAAAACTTTGCAATGTTTCAATTTAAAATGGGCGCAGTAGAAATCTCAAATTGCTACGTGTTGTAATAACATTTTCTCGTGTTCCCAATTTTCTAATAAGCTAAACTGCATTTGAAATGCAGATACTACTTTGAAAGCTAGTTTAGTTTGAATAAATTCATTTTGGTGCACAAATACTATTTACATTAAATAAAGAAATTGTTTTAGCAGGTACTTAAATCAGTACATCACGCTTTGCACGAAATAAAATGCAAATTCATCCAATTAAAGATACGGAATGCGCTTATAAACTCGGTGTAAAACAATAATATGCATTTTTTGAACTGCAAATCGACTTCATTGTGTACCGAAAATTGTGGACCTATACATATTTTAGCAAATGAAATCAAAATATCACCACGATTTACCATACAAAGGTCAAGGTTTGTGTCGTCGAAGAAATTATACTCGGAAGTGAAATAAATCTTAAAACCACGCTTAGCGTGGTTTTATACTTATCGGGATTGGTATTAGTGTTGAGAGTTTCTCTCTTGAGAGAGTAATTGGAGTTGCGCCATTTTTAATTTTGTAACAAGCGTACTTTTTGTTCACAAAAGGTACGAATTGACATAAACGTACCAAAACAAAGATTTTTTTATTATTCGTGAATACATTTACGCTTAAATTATAACATATATTATTTATGCAAATAATTGGTATAAATATTGGCCAATATTTCTCGATAATTATGATTTATTATCATTTGAAGTAGAATTTTAGGTACCTTTTCGTACTTTTTTGTTCCTACCTGTGATAAAATTTTCCTCAATTCACAATTTACCAATGAGAGAGAGAGAGAGAAACTCTCAACACCAATCCCAATCCCGACAAATATAAAACCACACTTAGTCTTCCTTTGCTTCCAAGCTTCCTTATCGCGAGAAACCAACACAAAAAAGAAATATTTTTTTAAGTGAGTTATAACCATATTAATTTTTTTTAGAGAAATTCAAAGGAGAGTATAGTTTCGGATATCGCCACAGTTCCATCAGTTTTCTTAGTTTTCTGTCTCAATTCCATTTTATTTAACTTGTGATTCAAAGCCTTCAGGCCTATTAAAGATAATTTACAAAATGCATATGAAATGCTTAACCTAATATAGGACAAACTACCGAAAAAATAATAATAAGCAGATAAATAAACATCAATTAATAGCAATTAAAAAATATATATATATATTATATTTGAGACACAAACAAATAAGAAACATATTAAATATTCTGGGTGTTCTAACCACAAAAGAATTTGCCATAAGAAGAGAAGATTTAGGAATTAAGTATAAATAAATCTCCAAGCCATATACAATTATCGCCTGAGCCAACCTCAACCTCACTTTTTCGAGGAAAAATCAAATCGGGACTAATTGACACTTAGTTCATTTCTTCCCGAACGAGAAGAACTATAATTACTACAAACAAAAAAAATGCTTGAAATGGGCAATTATTCAATAAAAAATATTTATTGCATCAAACATTTCCAATGCCGTTATAATACTATATGTCTGTGTATAGTGTACTAATTTTTGCAAAGACCGTTCAGAGTATCCGGAGGTTGTCCACTATATCAAGATTGAAATTGTTTGTGGAAAATAAACAGGTTTTATTCGCTCAAATACATATTTGAGTGGTTTATTTTGTCCATTTTTTTATATTAAGATATTTAAGGGTTTGTGTTTGAATTGTTTCAAAAATATTGTAAAGTCGTATTAATTTGTTTGTGGCTTTGTACCCTTAAACTTTTTTTTGTTGTTTTGTAAACTTTACTTAAACCCAAGCTTTGTATCAGAACTTAAAATGGACTTAAACCTTGATCAACGACTCATTTGTACATGTATTGGCAACATTTTTCTTATATCCTTTGGAGGGACAAATATGATTATAATTAAAATTATACATTCGATAGAGCTAAAAGTTTCTGAAATACATGATTCCGAAAGCTTGATTTTCCGTATAACATGTGTATTTGATGTTGTGAATAGATATGGAATAGGAGTTTAGCGACATTTGTTATATAAAAGTACTTGTATATCAAACGCGAACTTATATACACCTTTTCTTTTAAATTTTAGGAAATCAATCGCAGTAATCGTCGTATTATGAAACAAACGTTCGTATCCGACGTTCTACAAATCCCCGATCACATTGCCGAAGATGAAGACGAATTGAAATCAAAAACGCTATCAACAGCTGTTAAGAAAACTGTGACAACAACAAACCAACAAACAGCGGAGAGTAATTCTGAAGAAGACGACGATGAAGAGGACTGGGAAAAGATGTACGATGAAAACGGCGAATGTTTAGATCCAAAGATTATGCAAGAATTGACTGCGTCGGTTGGCAAGTGTAAAATTGAATTGCCCAAAATGGATTACAGCGTAAAGCAATCCCGACGATTTACCTTTGTGTGCAGCATTTTCATAGTTAAATTGGTTTGTTTCTTTTTTTTGTTTACCTTTAGGCGTTTTTAACAAAACAATCCATATTGAATGACGAGGAATTCCCACATGTTTTGGAGGTTTCCAATTTCCCGGTGGAATTTAAGAATCAGGATTTGCTGATGATTTTCTCTCAGTACAAAGAATCAGGGTTTGACATTAAGTGGGTAGACGACACACATGCCCTGGCCGTGTTCAGTAGTTCACGCATTGGTGAGCATAAACAAATAAAAAATAAAATGGATCTGATTTTTCTCCTGGATGTAACTTATTTACATATTTTGTTTCTTCGTAGCTGCCGAAGTTCTTACCATGGGACACCCGTTTGTCGTTCTAAAGCCATTGGCTGAGGCAACACTTGAATCTCGTGTGAAAGCTAAGAAATGTGCCGCATCATTACAACCATATCGTCCCCGCCCTGAGACATGCGCAGCATTAGCCCGCCGTCTAGTCACCGGAGCTTTAGGAGTGAGACTTAAGACTGCAGCTGCTGAGAGAGAGAATGAAAAACGCGTTTTGCGCGAAGCCAAAGGTAAATTCAGTTTTGCTATATTGATCAAGTCAAATAAAGATATATGTTCTTAAATATATTTCAGAACGTAAACTACTAGCTGCCAAACAACGAGATGAAGCTTGGGAAAGCTGAAAACGTTTTTGAAATATACAATAGTGCAATGGAAATTAGTGGTAGCTCATGATAATATTCTGCCATCCATTTAGGAATTAAAAGTCTTCTTGATAAGTAGCATAAGTGCGTACCTATATTTAATGTATATATTAAGTAAATATAATACATACATCTATGTATGTGTGTTTAGTATAAGTTTATATGTTATATGTATGTTCAGCTAATTGTTGAAACAAAATGCAAAATTTATAATTAAAAAAAATTAATAATTTTACATTAGTAAATTTTTCAACAATCTCATTTTGACATAATTGTAAAAATCATTTGTTGAGCACATTGTGAAAAGGAATGCAAAATTATATCTGCAATTTATTGTCTTCTATTTATTTTAAAGATTTTTACTACATTTTTTATTTACAATTGTACAAATAAAAACAATTAGGATCCCAAAAGTGCATACACAATAAAATTCATAAAATTCAATACAATAAATAATTATTTTTATATATGTTCATTTTTAGTATCGAAATGAAGGTTTTCTTTAAAGATTAATTGTTAGAGCAGAACAACAAATATACAGTTTTATTCTGCACGTCAATTCCCCTTTCGACTTATTCTGAACAACATTTCATAGTGCAACGTAAAAATGTGATAAAACATTTTCACGTTCGTCTAATTCAAAAGTGAAAAAATATTTATTTTGAATGAAAGGGAGGCAGGGAATATGACGACAATTTGTGCGAAAATTATTGCTAGTACCGAATGTGTAACGGCTATAAGAAATATTTAATCAGGGTTTTAACAAATTTAAGGGTGAAATTCAAATCAGAAGGTCCACCGTCGTAAAATATATATAGCTGAATGGTAAAAGGTACATATGTATCCCAAAATCACTAGATGTGATTGGGAGGGGTCTAACCAGGAATACAAACTTTTCATTAAATTGGAAACATAAGGTTCTGATTGGGAACATCCCAAAAAGAGGAAAAGAAAATTAACATTTTCAGGCTTATTCTGTACTTTAATATCCTATGCAGTTGTTCGCTCTTCCCTTTAACGTTATTTTGTACAAGGCCTCGAAGTGATTTTTTCGCATTCGCCTTACTTTAAACAAAGTTTAAAATGAAAAATAGTTGTTCTGAATGAAAGGGAGGGAGAGAATGTGTTGACAATTTATGCGAATTGTTTGGCTAATAAACGGAAAGGAAAATATAAAAATAAATATTGAATATTTTTATGAAAAAAAGATCTCCATTATTCTATGTCTATTTTGAATATTATAAACGGTTTTATGTTTTTAACTTAGAAACAACAAATAAAATCCTATAAGTAGCACACACTTGGAGGGAGAAGTGTTTTGAATAACCCTCGATTCGTTTCGAATATTTTTAAATAAATTTTTAGAGAGATTTAGTATGAGAACAGAAAATTATCACGGGAAATTTGTGATATCTACCGGTATTTATTAAGCAAGTCAAATTTGAGGGGTGACACGTAATTAGTACATCTTGGAATTGTTAAATTAAATGCCGTTGATATTAAAAAATGAAAACAAATAGTCTGATGAAAAAATTAAAAAAAAACTTGGGAATGTCAGCCTTTGTATAAAAATAAAGATTCGGATAGTCCAGACATTGCTAGAATAACTAGAGATCAAAAAATCTTTATGAAAATAAACAAAAATTCGAAATAAAAACTCAAAAGTTAGTAATTATCTTAAAGGACCCCTTTGACTTCGAAAGGCTTTGAGGAAGAAAGCCGGTGTATTTTTGCAGAATATGAGGAATATCAATTAATAATGGCATCAGTAATATCAAATCGTTGTTTAAGTAGAGCAAAATAGATTTTGTTGAAAAAATATCTAAAAGATCATGATGAGAATGGTATGTTGACCAGAATAGGTCTATAAAAACTCAAAATATCTTAAAAAAATTATAGTAATGCGCACCTATATTTTGATTCGAATAAAAATACTTTTTGATTATTTATTCTTGAAAAAATAAATTTCATTTCAATTTTAAATATAAGGACGCCTGATAAAACGTCATTTACATTAGAATTTTTTTACCGGCTTAAACGGCATATTCATTCGAACTTTTGACCGGGTTAACCTACTTTATTAGGATTTATTTGACATACAGTGGTGGTCATGCAATTAAAACATTTATTGCGGTAAACATTTTTCGATCAGCCCTCGATTCGTTTGAAGTATTTTTGAATTTTTTTTTTTATTCAGAACACATCGATATACTGCACTTAAGAGATTTAGTGTGAAAATAGAAAATTATTGCATGCAATTTTTCCATAAATAACGATTTTTATGAAAATACATCGTATTTGAAGGGGCTACATTATAAAAACATTGTGTGATTTTTTTACTTTACTGCATTTTTTGAATATATTTTTAAAAAATCACTTAAATTTAGGTAAGTTATGCAAATTAAGCACCGATAAAATCATTTAAAGAAAAAATTTTTTTAAAAATCTGTAAAATCTATCAAAATTGCAAACATTTGTACAGTACACCTAACATTCAGAAAATCACCTTTATTATAGAAAATAAAGGTCCGAATGCACCAGAAATTGCTAGAGTTAGTAGAAAACAATAAATAATTCTCAAAATAAACAAATATTTGAAATAATATTTCAAAAAGATGGCAATTAACTTAAAGGAACGATTCAACTTCGATAGCCTTTATTGAAGAAGGCCGGAATATTTTTGCAGTATGTGAGAAAATATCGATTGATATTGACACTTATTATATCAAATCGATTGTTCGAGTAGTACAGAACATATTTTATCAAAAAATATATTAGACACAACGAAACGAACAGAGATCAACGCCTATGTTGATTAGTAAAAGTTTATGGCACACAGCAGCAGTTTTGAAGCTCAACACAAAACTTCAAATATTTGTCCAACTGTAAAATATTTTTTTCTTTGAGGCTAAAATAGATTAGGTCTGTCTGCGTACTTTCCCATAAATTAATACTCAGTAAGTTCTCTTGTGAGAGTAGAAGAGATTTTTCTTCTAAAAATAAAATTACAAAAAGTCATGGCATAACCATGGTATAATAATAGAAGGTAACAGCAAGTGTTGTTGTACAAAAAACGATACAACAACCACATGGAAATTTGTTGTTGTAAGTTCTACTAGTGTCAACTCATTTGACAGAAAAATTTAAACAAACAAACAAATTATCATCAAATTATTTTTATTTTGAAAATGAAATATTTTCGAATCCTCAAAATAAAAATTGAAAAACATGAATGAAAATCTATCAAATTAATATTTCTATCGCTTCCACATCTTTCCTATAATTGAGCCATTGCCATATATATGTGTAACACATATGAAAATGCAGGGAATAGCGAGTTGTTCCTTTAAGAAAGATTTGCTTCCTCAAACTTTCCCAGCAGGCAGATTGAGTAAGTTGAATACGGGAGCAGATTTAATAACGAACAATTACAAATTGTATGCGTTCCCAATTTTCCTGTTGGGTGATTTTTAAAAACATAATTTGTCAAATTCATATTGACACTAGTATTACGTTGGAATCAAATCAGCTGGGACTTGCTGTTACCTTTTATAATTGTACCATGGGCATAACTATACAATGTAGTCCAATGCAGTCATATGTTTCTAATTTTTTCATAAGTTTGCCTTTGACAGTATTCAGCTTTCAAAATTTAAATGAAAATATATTCCTTGCTGTGGCAAAAATTTCTAAATAATTTATATTTATAACTATTTTGAAGTTCCCTGCCTCTAAAACTTATAAATAAAGGATGTAACAACAATGGTTAAATCTCGACAGCAATGTTCAGCTCATGGCATAATTATGCAAGGTAATCTCAAGCAGTCATATGTTTCCAATTTTTTCATAAATTCGCCTTTGACAACATTCAGTTTTCAAAAATTTAATTGAAAATTAAATTTCATTCGAAATGTACGCATGTCATGAAATAATTTATATTTATAAATATTTTGAAGTTCTCCGCCACTAAAACTTATAAATATAAGCTGTAATAACCATGGTTAAATCTAGAAAGCAATGTTCAACATTAAAAAATATATTTTATTTAATTTTTTGAAAATATGTTAATCGACATACATAAAACTTTATGGAATTTTTTTCATATTATTTAAAATTGATAGATGAATTCCATAATGCAATAATAAGGTGATGTATCAAAACAAAAACCTTTGTTTTTTTTGGAATTTTGTTGCCAATGAGGGCAAACTAGAGTTGGTCGATTACCCTAAGCAATCATGAACCACAACTGTTCATTATAAAAATTATATATACTGTGGATGACGTGAAAAAAGAAATAAACACCATACGTTCATCCTATAGAAGGGAACTCAAAAAATAAAGCAGTCTGAAACATCTGGACATTCTGAAATAGTTTTTAAAGTCCATGGGCTCAGAGTCTCGAATTTCTTTTAAAATATTCACATGTGAATGTTGTTTTCGCGAGGCTATCCATTTCTTCACCCATTTCGTTCTTTCAATAACTTTCTTTTCACTATCTTACAACGCAATTATTAAAAATGCACACCCAATTTTTTTGTCATCCATTTTTATTAATATATTTAGTTTTTACGATGTCTTATTAGCACAATTTATAAATTTGAAAGTCGGTTTGAAAAAACAACAACACAACAAAACTGTAACAACCGATAAGTTATCGAAACTGTCACTCAAAAATTATAGTGTGTACACCGCTTTAGGTTGTTGTGTTTTTCGTGGCGTTTATAGGCTGATTCTTGCTTTATGAATGAATTTACAAAGATCATGTAATAGTGGAATAGAGTGAGTGCTTAATATTTGTGATAAGTTATTTAAGTTCCCGAAAAAGGCAAAATCTTTACTAATTGTGGTGTTTTTGTGACAGCTGAAAATGACATGGTCATCAGTTTCTGTTGTATTGCAAGTCTCGCAGATGTTTGTGTTGGAAACTTTTATTTCCATATGTATGACCTGTGTAGAGTCTGTTAATCAATTTTATATCAAACCTTTGTTTTTGTCTCGATTATCTGTCAAATTTTTCCATATAATATTTTAAATGGTTGGCAACACTGCACATCGAATTCATGTAGAAATTACCCACTTTGACAGTTAACCAAGA